TCTCTCTCTCTCTCTCTCTCTCTCCTCCCCCCCCCTCTCTCCCTCGGATTCGTGTTCCCCCTCGTGGACAATACTTTTGCTTGTTTCTGTCAGCTTTGGATTGGGATCGCTGTCTCTTGCGTTAAATTATTATTCGCATATTTTCGAGTCTTTTGGATTTTAATGGATCATTGCCGAGTATTTAAAATTATTGTGAGTCACATTGATGTAATTTTGTATTTATACAAGTTTATGATTTTGTATTAATTTTGGCAATAGCGGAACACGTCAGTACAATTATGTTTTATTATTGAATATCGACTTTACCTATCCCGTTTAGAAGTTAAGACATTAGTTTAGTGGTTTCTCGATCGATGATTGGCTTTGTTGATGGATGTTCTCGTCCACGAATCCACCCGTCTCTCCACGACCCGCACACTGAGCAACCGAGTAAATCCCGTACCCTCGTATTCCACATTTCTGCGTATGGTTTGTGTTATGTTTCTTGTCATTATTGGATTTTTGGGAACAATCAGTATTTAGTTTTATGTTATTTAGTATTTAGTTATTATGAACTACTTTATTGTAGCACTTGTAGAATGAGAATGAGAAAAACGGAGACATGTTGGATGTTCATCCCCCTCATTACTTTTTAGCATTTTCCGCAAGATGCTAATTCACAGAACGACCTTCCGAGGGAGGAAATTCGCTTTTGGGATCGTGAATGTTCTATAGGAAAGCGAATGCGGTACAATGTAGAATCTACAGCCGAATGCATAGGGTTGGATAGAGTGCCGAATGGGACATGAAAAGCGACTCGAAGGCCGTAACATAAAGAATAAATAAAATAAAATAACCTCGAAAAAAGTACTTCGCTGCTAAACGGGATTACTTGCTCGAACCTCAATTCGACAGATATATTGCAGACTGTTCAACCTGTCTCTGTGTCTACTTCATGGACATATTATAGGGAACCCTCTGGTGCCGCTAAAGGTTCTTATGCGAAAGTCCTGAGAATCGCAACCTAGATCCCATCATGTAACTTCTTGATATTAGAATTAGGAATCTCCCGCATGTGAGTCCAGTGATATTCACAGCGATCTTATAATAAAAAGTCGTATTATATGGAGAATTAGTATTTCAAGCGTACATAGTGAATTGGTAAACAGCATTTTTTACATTTTCGTGGCTTTTCAGTCAATTATGACTTATTATGGGATTAAGGGAGTATGATAAATGTGGTTATTCACGGTCAAGACTTCGTTTATATATACAGGAAGTGCTTATTGTAACTATGTAGAAAACCTGATTAAATTCGTAATTGATTACATCGAAAGTTGACGGACAGTGGAATTCTCGAAATGACAATGGTGATGGATGAACACATAAATTATGAAAAATTGTTTCATAGAACATAATTCTGGAAGTTATCATAACTGTCTCCAAAAGTTGGGATTTTGTTGTAATCTGCGTTCGAACTTTTCATACCATCCTTGCACGGAGGAAAGCGGCACGAAGTTCTCTGTAGGATTTGGTGTCATTTGAGATTGTGTCACAGAAAAGCTAGAAATGTAATTTAAAAAACTAGTCAACATTTTCTGAGCAAATTCCATGGATGAATTCCTAGTGACATCCGCCACAGCATTTGCGATTGCATTTGCTTGAGACTCGATGACATTCAGTGGCTCGATCGATATACCAATTTGTGCGACATGGGAGATTTTTCCAATGCCAAAAATTCCATCGTTTGTATTTTCGAATTCGTGATTTTTCCTCAAGTTCATAATCTTGAAAATCGCCGAGGGTTTGAGATTGGATATGTAGCCGAGAAACTGCCAATTCGGAGGAGCATCAGGATCTGGCCAACTAAAGTAAACTGAAAGAAAAAAAATATCAGTCATTTCTCCGTGATGATTTTTTTGCGTTTACACAAACTTTTTGATAAATGGTTTATTTATCTTCCCAAATTAGTGGTCGCTTTTTGTCAAAAAATTTCCCCATTATAAGTATAGTAGAACTGAGCAGATTGTACCCTTCAGAATTCCCCCCAACTTTGCCGTACGGTTGACATCTCACGAGTCTTGACGTTGCAAGAGTTATACCTCTCAAGGGTTATGCCTCGTGGTAGGTATATATCGCAAGGGTCATACCTATCAGCGGAAGTCAAACGTCATAACAATTACATCTCACGAAGTAACGCATTGCAAGAGTCACTTCATGTAGGTCATACCTGGCAAGGGGTGATTTTTACGGGACTCCAGGTTACAAAGGTCCAGAATACTGAGGGTCATCGCCATTGCCAGTTGATCCACCTCATTATTTATTGACAAGGAGAGGCCGGCTGGTGTCGGACACCGACAGCATCCAGTCTTTATGTATTTGACCGGTGTCACTAATAATGTGCCCCACCAAAGACCTAGAGCAATGCCCAAAAATAAGGGAGAAATTTTGTCTGAAAGATTTGGGCATAACATATGTATAAGTTCCTAACACATAGTTTTCGAAATAGCGCTCTAGCCGAGTGGTAGCACGTCCGCTTACCGACCCGGCGATCCGGGTTCAAAACATTTTTCTGATACACGTACAGTTTTACTATTTTACTTTTTTATTCAACAGGAAATGTTCATTTCATGAGAATTCAGATATTTAAAAGTGAATAAATGAATACCTATTGATTTTTGAATGATGCATCGTATGTTCAAGCGATCATAAATTTGGATCAGGTAATATATGGAGAATAAAGGGGCCATAAGGTCCTCCGCTTATTCTCGGCGCCATCACCATTGGTGCCGTCTACACGGAGAGAAATATTCAGTAAAAATTACGGAACAATTCACGTAATCCGCAATGGGGAATCGTTTTCCGGCAATTTTTATAGGAATGGAAGAGAAGAAATCTGAAACATTCAGTGAATTCTCAAACCGACTCAAACCACTCAAACCGAAAATTGTTGAAAGAGTCCGGAAAAATGGACCCAGAATGTCCATCGACCTCTCGTCTCACATTGGAGGAAACTTTTCACGATTCGATTTATAGTGAGGAATAAAAAAAAACTCCTAAAAGAAGCTCCTGTTCATTATGAAAATCTCTTTTTGGAGGATGATCTCATGGTGGAGGAGGCACCGACGTCCATCGCAGACAGCACTGATCAGCGACTTACCGGCCACCGTACCGTAGAAATGTTGGGAGATAAGATTTTGGGGGAAGATCATGACTTAAGCCTCCCCTATGAGGATGATCCGGACCAGCTGAACGAAACAGTGAGTGAAGACGAAGGATCCAAATCTGACGATGAAGAGTACGAGCCCCCTGAACAGACATTGGCATAATCATAATTTATAATTACAGTTAAATTTTGAATAAGTCAATTATTAATATTGCCAATCACCAATTTTTTTATTATAAAAGTAACCATCAATTTAAATAATCAAATTCCGAATTATTCTATCAACCAATAGTTGAGAAATTTAAATCACCAATTATAATATTCTTTTTCAAATTTCAATGGAGATACGGAAAAAGCAAATTATTGTAAGGTGCAACTTCTCATAATATTACTGAAGTAATGATTGATTCCGATCGATAATATACCGCCTATTGTGGGTGAGGGCTACCAGCTTTCTAGTGAAGCTTTGGAGGGTTCAATACAAGCAATGTGTACGTCGCAAATCCCGGGTAACGCTAAATGCTGGCAGTCTTCGATGTCTGCTGACCTACGCTATGTACGTTCTGTTTAAGCAAAGAAAGGATTGTTCATATAGAAAACACAACTTTTATGACTTCCAATTCCTTTTACATAATAAATTGAATAATTGCCATTAGAAGGATGGTCGAGGAGTAAGACCAACTTATGAAGATAACCCAATTACCATAAACTTATTAGCCAGTGTTACCTGGTTCACTGCAGATATCACTCTAGATATCGGCATAATCATAATTTTTAATTACAGTTAAATTTTGAATAAGTCAATTGTTAATATTGTTTTTTTATTGTTATTTTACATCGCTTCGACCCGGTTAGGGTATACTGCGATGATGATCAAGACTTTAAATGGTTCGATCGCACCATTCTACCCGGCCGGTATTGAACTCGGAACCTTTCGCATGTGAGGCAACGAACTTACCCACTGCACCAAGCCACCGGGAATAATTGTTAATATTACTCACCAGTTTTTTTGATTATTAAGTTAACCATAAATTTAAATATTCAAATTCAAACTCAATCAGTAATTGAGAAATTTAAATTACAAATTATTATATTATTTCTCAAATTTCAATGAGAATAAGTAAAAACTTAATTATTGTGGGGTGCAACTTCTCATAATATTACTAAAGTAATGATTGATACCGATCTGTGCCCCTCAAAAGGAAAGGAAAGTCGAACACATTCCCCTGGGAATCAAAATGAAAGTGGTGAGATTGGCGATGTTGCATCTACATTGGAAGCTGTCATCACTTCAGAGCAAAAGCTCAAAACTTTTGAAAAGCAAGGGTCAATTGCTACGATGGATAAATACGCCGCTATCGAGGGATGGACTTATGACTGCTTCAGGGAAGCCCGAGAGGAATTCGTTCAGGTACTATTTCACATGGATTCTAACTCTTTTCACCTGACGTATTTGAAAAATATTATACAAAATATGATAACTATGACCTCTCACGGGAGTGGGCATTGGCCGCAGCTAGCCATAATTCAGGTCTCAAAACTTCAATTTCAAGGCTTCATTAACTTGCGCGAAGGACTTCAAAAGGAAATACAACATTCGCCAGAGGAAAATCACGAAATATGTCAGCCGCAAACAGGACAGCAGGATGACGGAGGTCCTGGAAGCAGCAAAAAAATTCTGCACAATTCGAAGCGATCACCAGGGCTATGAACCGCATCTTATCATTAACACTGATCAGATGGGCTGCCAATATCAGCCTAGCTTCGACAGAACACTTGCGAACTAGTAACGCATACACTGCGCTGTATAGCATTACAATGTCCGGGGAGTTGTTGCCAAGTGTGTTCTTGTGCTTGCAGGAACCAACGGGATCCTTCGGCCCCCGAGTAAAGATAACTGTCGACCATTGAACATAGGAATTCGGTAATGTTGTTGTAACTAGCTCGAAATCAGGCAAACTTACAACACAATTATATATAACATTTCTTGAAAAAGTTGTACAGTGTTACGTGAAAGAAGACAAGTTTTTCTTAAAAGTTGATTCTTGGGGAAGGCAAACGAATCCAGTAATTCACAATTGCGACGAAATTCCAAGCGAATTCGTCATTTAAACTCCAGGGTATTTATGTGTAAAATAAGTGAGAGTAAAAATGCCTGAATCGTTATCCTTTCTTTGCGATAAATTTTTATATGAAAAATTAGAGCTACCTGCTAATTTAAGCAAAGCTCCAAGCTACCTTAAACGGTATCACGTCATATAATCCTAGTAAAAATGATCCGCGACAGTTTAATCCTGCAAAATGATCCTACTCAAATTAATCCTGATGCAATATAACCCTGAACAAAATGATCCTGGATGATTTGATCCTGCGATTTTTTTTAACGATTATATTGCTATCAATTTCAAAAAATAATGGTAACTCTGTGCTAAATATTTTGAATTTCCGCTTTCAACTGAAGGAAATCATCTTGTAGAATAGTGGCAATTGTTTCTTGTAAGTCACGATTGTTCTTTTTACTCTCATTTTAATTTTTCCAGGAAATGAATTCATGTCTAATTTATGTGTAAATACCGAACGTATTTGTGTGACGCTCCATAGAAAATTTGATGTTAAACTACTGAATGTTGTTAGAAGTTATGACAGAAATAATATCTTAAAGTATCTCAAGGGAATCGCTTATAATATTAATTATTTAATTGTGCACGTGTTGCTTTCAACAATTTAAGTTGTCTGACCACAATTTTTTTAATGATGTCATTGATTTTTCATGTTTGTTTTTTTGTTGATTAAGTTGGACGATACGATTCGGACAATTATTTTAATAATTCATGAGTGCATCTTTGTTTTGAGATTTGAGGGCTTGCAACATTTTTCACGGTTTGATATCAGCACCATGTCTGCATGTTTACATTTCATAAATAAATGACTGCAATTTGTTGAGTATTTTACGTCGCATTGTTTTTCCCATTTTTTCAGATTTTTTTGCGTACAATTTTGTTACTAATTTTTTTGCATTGGAATTATTTTTATAGGTTTTTTTTCAGGATTAAATTGCTTAGGATCATTTTTTTAGGATTTTTTGACTAGGACTAATTTGTTCAGGATTAATTTTCGAGGATTAAATGACACGGAACCCCTCAAACAGCGGAAAGTTGCTGAAATTTGGGGGAAATAAAAAGACAAAACGGGAATTAATGTGCCCATCTCAGTGTTTATACATATAACACCTGACTGAAGGTTTAGAGGACTCATCAAGAGTTCGTCACCTCGGGCTCTTTCCTCCGAGCCGACCCACGACTAACATCTCTCAGTATTTTGCGATTGTGGGATCCAAAAGTTTATCAAGTTGCAAAAAGTACACGTGCAAAATAAAAAAAAAGGAAAACCTAAATTATATCGTCAAACTGTAGCTGACATATCAGATAAGTGCAAAATATATTATCATTAAACAAGTGAATCAACTGAGTAGATCGTGGAGGAGGAGAGGGGCAATATATTTTTATCATTACTTTGTCTTCATTTTTCGAATCCAATTTTGTTGGGGCGATCTAAGTAGATTTTTCTTCATCTTGAGAAATCGGGGAAAGCGTTTATACGTGTATTTTTATTGATATTCATGTGAATTTATGATTTTTCATATTTTTTATACGAATGAGTTATGTGTGTGTGGAGTAAGAATAATAAGCGGATTATAATTTTGGAAAACTTTATCGGTCAGTCGGAAGGAAAATTAAATTCAATATTTCGGAGTGATAATTTTGGACTAACGGGTGCTTGTCATCTTGTTTAATTACATCGTAATTTTGACGACTCTAAATAATAAATAAAAATCTTTGATGACCTCTTACGTGAGTTAGTAGTTTCAATTATTATTCATTTCACAATCCTATTTGCTTCGCATTTGAGGATATCGAGTGGACTGAACCATTATGATTTAAAATTCTCACGGGAATATTAGCGATAAAATTAATGTTCGTTTCCTCACATTCAGAATAAATTTCATTACAACGTGAATGGATTCTCTACATTTTTCGACTATAATATTCACCATTTAATATTCACCAATTAAATTCATAAATTAAGTAAACAATTTTGCAAATATTTTGGTCGAGTTCAGTTTTTTGTGGAATTATTGTTTAGTATTTTAAGATTTTTCTACGTAAATTCGGTTAAGAATCAGAGTATCACCTAGGAGTATTGCGAACAAGATAATGTGCTACCCAGTGTTTAGAGAAATCACGCAGTTGCTAGAGAAATCGATACTTCACACCTCCGACACTCGATTCAACACAGTACAGGGCTAGAATCGTACGGGGCTCCAACAAACTTCCCACTACTGCGCAACAGGCCCGAGCGGAAGCATGTAGTACCAGAGTAGAAATTTCGTCGGTTTATCATCGGTTACCGATGTGGTGCAACCGACAAGGTCACCGGTTCCACATAGGTTTCGACCTAAAAGGAACTCATGAAAACGTCACGCAGTTTCCTCCCAAGTTACAAGTAGGTTGCAACCCATCAAAAACTCACGTGATTATTTATTCACCTCATTATTATTAACAATTTGTCAATGATTAATAACTCATTAATTGCCACGGGGAAGCATGCCTAATGATAAGAATCGATTTATACACGCAGAAAAAGAAAAAAAAATCACATTATCGGTGAGAGGTCAGCCATCCGATTCAGAAGCCTACTCGCTGTTACTTAACTTTGGTGATCGTCTGTTGTGCTGAAGTCCAAGTCCGCTATCCTGTGATTCTTGGGAATATGATGTTTAGATATTCTACATAAGGCGAAGATTCGGATTCTCTGGTGATTGACATATGATGTTGCCCAAACCTTAATTATGACCCTTCCTAATTAATGAACCTTATTTCTGACCCTCGCGACTCTTATTTCTGACGTTCATTCCCGACCCTTGTGACCCTTATTTCTGACGTTTATTTGTGACTCCCATTTCTGACCCTCGTGACCCTTTTTTGAGCTTCGTTCCTGACCCTCGTGACCCTTATGTCTGACGTCTATTTTTTACCCCTATTTTTGGACCCTCGTGACCTTTATTTCAAACGTTTATTTTTGAATCTCATTTCTGACCCTCATGACCCCTAGTTTTTACCTTTTTTGTGAGCTTCATTCCTGACCCTCGTGACCCTTATTTCTGACGTCTATTTTTTATCCCTTTTTGGCTTTCGTGAGCCTTATTTTTGACGTTTATTTCTGACGTTTATTTTTGACTCTCATTACTGACCCTCATGACTCTTAGTTTTTACCCTTCCTTGTGAGCTTTATTCCTGGCCCTCGTGACCCTTATTTCTTACGTTTATTTTTTACCATTTTGACCCATGTGACGCTTATTTCTGACGTTTATTTTTGACTCCCATTTCGGACCCTCGTGACCGTGAGTTTTGACCCTTCCTGATCCTCGTGACCCTTATTTAGGTTACTGATGGGTTCTCTGATGGGATCAGTTATGTCCGACTGGACCTGGACAATTAAATGTCTTTAACACCTTATAAGGGGCAAATAAGTTACAAAGGGGTTGTGCTACATAAGTTAGTGGTCGGTGGTAAACTCATCTATCACCCACAATGATCATTCCTACTAGTATTGTTGCGTTTGGAACCTACAGGTTACACGCCAGGTACAACCCATTATGAGTCAGTAACCTGCCACAAACTCATAGGTTCCCAATGCACATCGGTAGCTCCCGACGAAATTTCTACTCGGGTAGTCGCCATTACAATATTCGCCCAGATTATCACATGTGAAGTACCTCTCAGTTATAGCTCCGTAAAAAGTTCGTTTTCGGCATTAAGTACTATCAGTTCATTACTCGAAACCGTTTCAGTCAAAGCCCCGAACGATGGTAAATTCCAGTGTATTCATGTAAGTGTTTTTTCTTAATTTTAGTGTGATTTTCAGAAAATTATAGTGGACCGCATGAAATGGCATCGACACCGAAACTCATGGTTTGAAGGGTAGGAAACCCTTCAAATGAACCCAGATGCTCCGTCACAGCTACCTGAATCAAACCCGATGATAATTATACTCCCTATTTTTCCATATTTTATCCAACTCACGAGTTTTGAAAGGAAAATTATGCTGAGATACGTTTTTGCTACCTTTTACGCATTTTGTGCTTTTTTCATCGTTCGTGATTTGGGTAATTCCAGTTAGGCATAGGGACGCTATCTTTTCAGTTACCTTCAAGTTCCATGGTTGGAATCCACAATAATACAACATAAGTTGATAGATTATTTGATAGCACAAGCTATCTATTTCGATGGAGAAAACCTCCATTTCCAGCTACGAAATGCTCCCTTCCGAAAAAACAGCCACGTGGCTGATTCCAGCTCTCTAGGTGTCTTTGGCTATCTTTTTGATGTATAATATCCACGATTTTAATATATTACCAATTACGAGACATTGAGAAATTATTAGAAATGCTCTCTAGAATCGAAAACTCGAATAATTATCGCCGGAAAAAGGAAAAATACGTATATTTTCCCTAGCGCTCTCTCGATTTCGCGTAGCTATTAGGTCATCCCACTTCTGGTGTCACACTTTTCATTTTCTATCAGGTGTAAAAATTGATAAGGTGCTTTTTTTCATGACTAGGAAGGAAGCGCGCTTCGCGCGCGCTAGCCAGGCTGCATGAAATTGATATTTGAATCATTTTTTTAAATTCTACTGATTCTTGACTTTATTAATTCGGTTCCGAAAATATTTCTTTCTCTTTACGTATTTAGATTGTTCAATCATTTTATTAACCAGGTAAGTAATTACAAGTACAATATAAAAAAAAAGGTAAGTAATACATTCAAATTTCTATCTCTATTACTGATTGCAAGAACGTTTTTCAACTCATTCATATTAGTTTGTCTTTTGTTCATAATTTTGTCTTTTTTTTGCATCTCTCCAATTCAATATGATATATCTCGGGATGGACGTTTGTTATATTAATTAATCGTTTGTTATATTAATTAATCCCAATGTTTATGTTCAGAACCCAGATAACTCGATTTGAAGTAGATTGAGAACGATTCCTTTTGCTCTACTCTTCCCTACAAAAAAAACAGTTGATTTTCGTATGTCATCTTTCATTTGTCGTGAAACGACGTTGCTTGTTATTCATTGAACAGAAGTCGATTGCAAATTATACAATCACAAGACGATTTACTAATCAATTCTCTCTGAATTTGATCAATTCTCGCTTGACTGCATTTATCTCGCGATCAATTATGTCTGACAATGATAACGTGCCGACTCCCACTCCATCTCCACCATTAGATCCTGGAGAGGGAACGTCTTCACAATCTAACCTCTTCACTGATTATGAGCTCTTGACTTCATCTGAATATTTGCACGAGATTTCTCCTTCAACGACTAAATTGGTGTAAGTATTGCTATTTTTCTTTTTTTCTTTCTTTTTCCACCAATTTTTTTTCTCTTTTCAATTCCGGTGAGGAGATCTACCTGATCTCAAATCCAAATCGACTATTGTGGTGACAGATACTTATTTTTTTCCTATTTTTTTTTTTTCAGTGAAGTTCTTGGGATTGTTCATCTCGTGAAGGCACCAAAGCTCGTCAAATGCAAGAATGGTACTGAAAATATTGTGTGCAATTTCTACATCGCCAATCTCGATGGCGATACAGCCCAATGTGTTATGTGGGGTCCAACCATTGAAAAGTTCATTGACAAACTCTTGATTCATCATGTAAGGCAATTTTTTTAGTTTCCTCCTGTCATTCATCCATTTGTATTTTTCAAATACGAATGAATTTGGAAAATGAAAGTACAAAATTTTCTTGAAACAAAATCAAATTTTTTAATTTTTTCCTTTTCATTTATTTTCTTTTTATAATTTCATTTCATTATTTAAAATGGAATTATAAAAAAAAATTTCTATTATAATGAAAAAAAATCTCAGGAAAGCCTATTGAGTTCAAACCAAAATCCTATTTGAATTCTAATTAAGTTCTATCGAAATTCCTTCAGTTTTTGATGAGTTTCATTTGATTTTTTTTCTTCAACGCAGTAGCCGTTTTTTATCTCACTTCTCAACTTTTTCTATTGAATAATTTTGTTTTATAAATTTTCTTACATTGATTTTTTATTTTTTCCATTCATTCATTTTTTCATCAAAAAAAAAACGAATTCAAAAACCTTGAAATATTTCATCTTAGGAATCTTCTATATAATATATCTCAATATATTAAGTTGCATTTGTCGAATTCAATTCATTTTCCTTGTATGATATTTTCTAATGAACGTTTTTCAAATTATTTTTCAAGAGAAAATCATTTTTTCAACAGAAATCGGTCGAAAAATAATAAAAAGTGCAACAGGAATTCCACAGTATTTTGTCGGGAATTCCGTATGTTTTTACGGAATGTTTCCCTACGTATAATATTTTTTATATTTTTGTGTTTGTGATTCGCTCTTTTTAATTTCTATTTTATCTTTCAGGTCATTCACATTGATGGAGCATTCCCCAAACATGTTCAGGAAGTATTCAACTCAGGAAGTGTTCCTTATGAATTGATTATTCAGTCGAATACAGGTGTTACAGATTTGGGTAAACTGCAGTTCCCTCAAGTATCCGAAGCCAATGAACTGGTGCTCGTTCCTTTGTCTTAAGTCACTAAGCATAAGAAAATTATTGGTAAGTTCATTACGTATATCGTTATTATTTTTTCTTTCTAATTTTTTTAAAACTATATTCATCGATTTTCTTATATTTCTCTTTTTTTCAGCTGTGAGAGGTTTCATCAAAACTCCTTGGGCAATTATCCATAAGCAAACTGATAGTACTGGTAACACGTGTTATGGATCTATTGCTGCTGACAAGTACTTTCTGGATGTGAAAATCTCAGATTTCGCTAATGATTACCGTTGTCAATTCAGAAAAGGGCAACATGTACAATGTCTTGGAACACTCATCAGGGCTGATAATATATGCACTTACAATTTCCATTCTATCATTTTTTACAGTACTATTTTTTTAACCAATCATATCTCCTTCTTTTTCAGGTAATTCTTTCTTCTTTTGTGTCCAAGCTCCAGGCTGCATCACGTTAGTTGACGGAGTAACTGCCACTTTGAAGGAGCTGTTGTTGTATAAACCTGTGTCATCTCTCACTCAAGTTGAGGCTGATAATCCTGGCACATCCAAAAAGATGAGGATGGTCGAATTATTCAACAGGAAACTCAACAAAAAAGTATTCACTCGCTCTCTTTCTTCTTTCCTCCTTTCTTCATTGAATTTTCCTGTTAACACTAATTTATATTTTTCCTTTCCAGGATTGAATTATTCTGATGATCTTCCCTGTTCTCCAGCTGATAGAATTCAGCCACAGAATTCATTGAATCTCTCCATTCATCATTTTTTTCTCAATTTTCCGAATTATCTATAAATCCATCAATTTTCCTCAACTTGATGTAATGAGTGAGAACATTGCTTCAAATCATTTCTCTAGAATTCATAATGATGAGTAATCAATTCTCCAATTGCAAACAAAAAACCTACATTTGTTAAGCGTAGAAGATTGCCAAATGGAGTTATTAAATTATGTAGTGAACGACGTATCATCGACAGAGAAATGCCGGCCAATATTGATGAATCAACCCCATCCACATCAAATGAAACAAATTCATTGAGGGATGAAAATCAGTCATCAAGGAGTGGAATAAAAAGAATGAGAATGAAAACTTCCACTTTTCCTTTCTATAAGAATTCATAGGCAACAATTTTATAATTTTTTCTTCTTTGATTTTATTCTGAATTGTGAAACCAAATAAAAACACCGAGGGAAAAACTTACAAAATTTCCGCTCAAGAATTTCATATAAAAAAGAAAATCTATTGACTTTTGTATTAAATCTCTTCTATGGCGAAAAAAAATCAATAGACTTCTCTAATATAATTCTCATCCAACTCTGGAAGAATTTTTATAGAATTCCGATAGAAGTTCAATAAAAATTTTTAGAGGAAGTGCTCGGTTTGTCTATAGATGATTTTTTTCCATGCGTGTCTCTATTTTCAAACTTTAATATCTCCGTTAAATAGAATTTTACAAACTCGACGAACTTCGAGGCGATTGGGAGTTAGTTTATCTTTTTTTTTTATCTAGTACGCGGCGAGGTTAGATCAAAAGGGCTGTCCTGGAGGGTGTTTATAGAAACGACAAAAAACTCATAGAAATGTTTACAGAAATTTTATAGAATAGTCTAGTTAATTCGCTACGTTTTCCTATTGATGAATTCATTCATATGTGTAAAATATACCCCAATTTGATGAGCTCTGAAACAATCAAATAAATTAATAATTCCTAAAACTTGAGAGTGGAAATTTCTGCGGAAAATATTTTAATAGAATAACTTTCATAAGAAAATCCCGTTCTATCCATTTTTCCTATAGAGGTAAAATATTTCCCACCAATATTTCTAATTTATCAATGTATCCTTCATAAAAAACCAGTTGATCAAAACTTCAATAGAGAGACAATATGACTTTCTAGCAAGTTCGATAGATTTTTCTATTGTTTGTCTTTGTGTGTGTATGAATGTTTCCCAAACAATCATTATCAGTCTCTCAATAATTCTATGAAGACTGGGTTTTCGACTATTGTATTTTCAACCTGCTCGCCCAAATATATTTTCAACGTTGACCATGAGCGTACTCTCGACATAGCCACATATAATTGCCCGTGAGTAAAAACATTCCTCCTCGAATCAATTGCTATACGATCAAATGTTTGTCCTTGTGATTTATTAATTGTCATCGCAAAAGCCAATTTTATTGGGAACTGTCGGCGGGTGAATGCAAATGGATACTCGTCTTCGCACACGAAAATGATTCTATTTATAAATAATATTTCATTTTTTTTGTCACCCGTCAATATTTCACATTTCAATACATTAGTTTTCATTTCTAAAATTAATAATCGCGTACCATTGCAAAGCCCTTGTTGAATATTCAAATTTCGAATTAACATTACTATGCTGAATTTTGTGAGTCGTAATTCATGCGGTGGGAAGGATTTAGGCATTAAAGTATTCAAGTATTCCGGTAAAAGATATTGAGTGATTTCTTCATTGTTATCATTGCAGTTTTCTGCGCTATCGACACTCGTATACAGCTGTTCTGTGTCAATATCTAACAAATCAACTACTCGTTGATTTAATTCATCAACATCTTGATTTCGTGCGGAAAGAATTGCGACTGTAGAAGCCGTTTTATATTTTTTCTCTTTTAATAGATCTCCATATGTATCTATCACGATGTCTTCATTGTTATTAGCTATATAATTTTCAGATAGTTCTATCATATCTTTCTCGTCATTTAGTGTTCCATTTCCCAAATCTATTAGATAATTCGGAAAAATTTTCTCGCTTGTCAATGTCGTCATATTTTGGGTCAATTTGAATTTTTTGAAAGATTTCCAAAGGGTACTGTATTTTATTGAAAGACTCACAGTTTCGCTACGTGTCCCCCCTTGAAGTACTGGAAGTAGTTGGCGGAAATCTCCTCCCATTACGGTGGTTTTCCCTCCAAATATCGTTGCGCTATTCATTATATCTTTCAGCAGTCTATTAATCACGTTTAAACAATATTTTGGAGCCATTGGTGCTTCATCCCATATAAATACATGAGTTTCATATAATTCTCTTGCTTTTTTAGAGTTCAATTTGATACTTGATGTCGAATCTTCATAAAGTGGTACGGGTAATCCGAATGTTTTATGAACAGTTCTTTCCTTCGGTAATAGGGTTGCTGCTATTCCGGTGAATGCAGTTGTCATCACTTTTTTACCTCTACTCATCATCAAATGCCACAAAGTATCATAAATGAAGGTTTTCCCTAATCCTCCAGGTCCATCAATGAAAAAACAAGTACAACGTTCTTCGTTGTTCACATCTTCGATATTCGTTATTATTTCATCCATAATTTCTTTCTGTTCTTCATTCAATTTTTCATATTGATCTTGCCCTCGTACTGATAGATATGTTAAGTCTAATTCTTCTTCCCCATTATCATCTATATTGAATACTTCAGGCATGTTACTATAATCTGCTAGTTTTATCTGCTTCATTCAATATTCTCTCAATTTCGGATCAAGCTCTATTTTCAGCTACTGCTGGTGCCATTTCTTTCCTAAAATCATCTAACATCGAAGTTTTGAATTCATCCCATAGTTTATCTGGATGTAATGGTCGACAGTGAATAAAAATGCAAGCGAATAATTGTCTCAGGGCTCGCGGCATCATCCACACCTCTCCCCCCCCCCCCCCCCCCC